CCTTTACCAAGTGAGAATGAAAAGTTACTTGCCTGGTAGGAAAATCTGCTTGTCCCAGATAATTGGACAACACTTTTTTCAAACCCTGGTAATAGTAACTGGAGCAAGTGGAGTACAATTCAGGAAGTAAGCGGGCAGTTAATGTCAAAATCAGACAAGTGCATCGAGCAAGGCAGATTTGAAATTACACACACAATTACTATCTGAATTGTACAACACAAGGTCCAACTACTAATAACAATTCCTCACGCAAAACATTTCATATGGAGAGGAGTTTGGATTTGCATGAAAATGAAAGAGCAGATGGAACAAATTTTCATAAGAATTGTTTCATACAAAGACTTGTTCTAACACAGAGGCAAAAGGCAACTCGGAAATGGGCCATTTAAATCTTATTAACAGCAAAATTTGAGATTACAAAGTCATTAAGAACTTCTTTCAAGTGAAAAAGATGGTAGTATTTTAAGTTTACAGACAGTGAGGAAACATAAACAGGAAGCCATTAAAGTGCACCTAACTGATGTGCGAATGACACAGGTGTCTTAATATAGTAGGTACCTAGTTCCTAAAAGTTGCAATTGAATACTTGTAATTTGACACCCATATGATCACGGACTGGAAATAACAGTCGGTCATCGGACATTGTCCAACCAAATTTTGAATATGTCCGGCCAATTTCACATTATGATCGGACATGATGTCCAAACATTTAACCAACACCAAGTTATTTTCCCAGGGCTTGAAATTAACTTTTTCATTTGGGAGCCAGCTGGTGACTAACGGAAAAATTTTGGTCGCCAGATTGTAAATATTGGTCGCCAACTTATTTATAAATAACTTACACAAGAACACGATTTTATACGTTACTTTGCATGCAAGAAGTCACAATTGAAGAGTGAAAACTATTAGAAACAACATGAGTAACACTTAATTATAAAGCTACTGTTGTTCTCAGGTGATATGTCTCTGGTCCAAAGGTGATGGTTGTCTCCATAGTCATTTTATTTTCAAATGAAGATGTTTTAAGTCCGTGGTTTTCATTGTGAGACAAAAACGGGTCCTTGTGTATTTTCCCTTTGCTACTTCTTCGAAATGCCGTTCTTTATTTTCGACTTGCTTTCTTCGAAGGATTCAAAGTTTGGATTAACCTTTTGGCTGAATCTCCATTCCCCACAAGTAAAAACTAACGTCACTCCTTCAACTGACTGGTGTCTGCCGACATTTTCGCGGCAAATGAAAAGCACATGGTGTTGAAGTTGGCCTGCGATCCCAGTTTCGGAAGAAGCCGCTGAAACAGTA